GAAATTTCCGCGGACCAGTGCCTCATTGTGTGACCAAGAAGCTGGAGGATTATTGACCAGACTCGCCAGAGTAGGTAAGAAAAGTGTGCATTGTGTTATGGTTCAGGAAGCTTTAGTCTCAACTGGCGTAATTGTTTTGTTGCTCTTCTTTCGTGTGAAGACCACAGGATCATCGGTAGATGCTCTACAAAGCACCTCCAGTGCTCCTCGGAGTTGAGGTGAGTGCTTTAAAATGTCGTGGTTGTGGAAAGCGGTAAAACACTCAACGTGAAAGCCTACCTTGCACTGTGTGCACCCGTATCGAGCCTTCTTTTTTTATGTTTCGCAGGCTACACAAGTGGCAGACTAGCTTTCCACTGCTGTGCTCGGTTGAGTTGGGAGTTATCATGTGCAGGGAGATGTCCATGCCGACACCCTCTTCAAGTGTCTCGGTGGCTCGCTTTTTTGCCTCCACCTCACGTCTTCGCTTGTTCTGCTTCTCATTACTGGTAAGTGTTAGAGGGTGATGCGTGCGCTGGATTCGAGTTGGTGCGCAAACCGTATGTGATGCGGAAACCGTGTGCAACCCGGGTTCATGTGCGTGTCTATACGCGAGTGCAAGGCTTTGTGCGGCGTCTAATGTTCAAGATGAGACGCACCCGTTGCATGTGCGTGAGAACAAGCGTGTGGGAGCGTGTCCAAGTGCTCAGGTAGCATGGACGCGCGTGTGGATGCATAGTAGCTGCATGTAAGTAGAAGTAGTGATCTCGTTGTAGACCGGATCGGCAAAGTGTAGTGGGTTAGTGCCCGCTGTTCTGCGCAACCAACACGAGTTCGAGTCCCGCAGGGGGATCGTTTCTTTTGCTTTTCTACCCACCCCTGCTCAGGATCTACTGTGGCAACTAACTCCCAACCACCTCGTGCTCCTTTATCGACTCGTTGGATAGCAGCTGCAACACCTGGCTTATTCCACTTATCGACCAAGTTGATTCGAACAGTTCCTAGCAAATGCGTTTCCCCATCGGTGAACATTTGCAATGCGTGAGCAAATGTGTGACGAGTGTAGGAATTATCGGAAACAACAAGTCGACGTCCTGTTGGTGATCGCAACGCTTGGCTTTGGTGTCCCGCCATCACAACCCACATTGCTGTAGCCGAGTCAGCCTCGATCGATCTTCAGCATCCAATGTATTCCGTAGCGGAGATCGCAGTGTTGGGAACAAACTAGTAAAGCGCTCGGCAGGAGTAGATGGCTTGCGGTTACCCGACGAATTATTCCATACAGAATGCACGTATAAAGAACTCCATCCAACGACAGCATAAAACCGAACGCCGTATTTATCGGGCTTCGATGGCAAAAACGACTTTGCTCGAGTTCGTGCCTTCGTTCGCACGGTCATTTCGTCGAGACTACTAACTCCAACTGGCACTGCAAATTCAGCAAACCGCTTTTGAAAGTGATCCATCATGTTGCGGCATCTCCATAGAGGATCTCGCTCTTTGTCGAATCCAGGTACTGTAGGGGGATGAAACGTGAGTGCGTCTTGAATTTGTTGAAATCACTTCCCTGACATCGTCTCAATAAAAGCGGTCTGTCCAAGAAAGCGACGATCAGACC